CCAGACTAATCTGAATGGGGCGTGTCATGATGTTCGGGTATTTAAAAGTGTTAAATTACTTACATACGTATGCAGCTAACGAAAAAGAGCGAAAACTTTAATTAGTATGGCTTCAATCAGCAAAGGAATAAAACCTCTTAGTTTAAGAAATGTTCATATATTTCACTTGTACTTACAACAGAAAAGTGTATTGGGTGCAGAGGCGCAAAATCCAGCACAGCAAAACAACGAAACAACGATCAGCGAATCCACCTATACAGCGAAAACATCAATTAGACGGCTTCAATCAACTAAGGCATAAAACCTATTAATTTAAGAAATATTCATATATTTCACTTGTACTTACAACGGAAAAGTGTATTGGGTATACAGGCGCAAAATCCAACACAGCAAAACAACGATCAGCGAACCCACGTAAACAGCGAAAACTTTAATTAGTACGGCTTCAATCAGCTAAGGAATAAAACCCATTAGTTTAAGAAATATTCATACATATATTCCACTTGTACTTACAACGCAAAAGTGTATTCGGTGCAGAAGCACAAAATCCAACTTGAAATCAGCACGGAATAACAGCTCGGAAAACACAAATTGTCTGTGAAAATCACATACACACAAAACACCAGAAAACCTGTGGAATAATTTTATTTATAGATTCTACATATATCACATATGCATAAAGTACTTACGATTTGAGTAATTGGTTTTCCGAAAATTGCAATAAATGGTGAAAATTCTTAATTTTCACAAATTAGCTATCGATTCGCACAAATTTTAATATTGATTGTCAACGAATAACAATAGAGACAGAGACGAAAAAGTCGATTAGTGATGCCAATCATTGTCGATCTATGGTTTTGCTTGTGTGAGTACCATTTTTAGTACTTTTTCATAAAAATCGCTGTAATATAAAAAGGAGTTGGTCAAAGCGGCAAATTGAATTTGCTAAGGGCGTTCAATCATAACGAAAAATGACACTGAAGATGGCACAACGCCGAAACCGGTTTGTCTCCAAACCAAAGTTGACAAGGGATGACGGAAAATCGTTCCACATTACATCGTATAACACCTTCTTTATTGCATCATGGGCCATGATACAATAATTTTTAGATGATAGTTTCTCTTCTTCTTCTTATCCGCCATGTTAGCTATCTAACAGAAAACGTGTTTCGTATTTTTCGATGTACCAAATTTTTCAAAAACCAAAAATCGAGCTTTTAACGTTGGAAAAATAAAACAAAGGAAAGCCAAACATATACATAAGGGCGATTCCACCGTCACGAGTTGGATATTTGTACAGAAAAAAAAATGCTTTCTTGTTTAAATTTAAGTATAAAGTACTCAACAATTCTACATTTAGATAAAGACTATTATATGAGTTATTACAAAATACGAAAAAAATTCCAGCTTACTTTTATATGAAAAAATCTGATTTATTTCTTCTGTCACGGGTGGGACAAAAAAAAGAACCTGCTTTTTGGAGCAGATATATTTTACGGACTTTTCTGTGTGAACTTGATGTCTTATAATAAAACAAAAAACCAGGAACACAAACAAAGCAAAACCTACAAAAAAATGATGGCTTTATTATACAAAAAATCTGAAATTCCTCTGTCACGGCTAGGACAACGTTTGTCATCGGTAGGAGATGTACGAATTTTAAATGAAAAGGAGCTTTTAGTGTGGTCCTTATATAAAGATTAGTTATTAAAAAATATAAGAAGCCAAGTAGGGGTTAAATTCACTCAGGTTTTATCTTAGGATATGTGCCTTTTATATAAAAGAAAATGCGTCGCACCGTCAGCCAGAAAAATTATTAAAAATCGACGCGATTTCCTAGCGTCTTGAAATTTTCACTTTAACCTACTTAAATTTAATGGGCTATAAAACTGCATACCTAGAATTCGGAACAAAAAGTTTAAAATATTTGGGTGTAATTGTCAAGGTTTGTTGAATTTTTATAATTTTTGTATGAAGTTTTAAATGCGGATTTATGTGGTTCTGGTTATTTAATGTGCTAGACTTTTATAAAAAAAAAAAACTATAAACATTAGATTAACAAAATAAAAAACCATAACTGGTCAAAATGTAACTTAACTTGACCAGCTGACCACAAGGGTATATAGATAATGGACGAGTCCGCGCATCCCTCCTCCCCTGCGTCCACCTCAACAAACAAATAAAGCTTATCTTCCCTGTAAACCTACCTCTGATAACTGCCCCACACAAAGCTGTCACGGGTGGGACATGCTTCTATGATGCTTATCTAACTACGTGGAATCGACAATGCAATTCTGGTAAATATTTGCAATGAATTTCTAACATTATGTAACAAACACGAAACACAACCTCAACTTCTGTAATTAAATATAACAACTTTTAGCTTTTTTTGTCACGGGTGGGACAAGACCAATACTGCTTAATAATAACTCATAATAGTATAGATAAAGCAGTCACACAATTTAATATACAGGGTGTCCCAGAAGTAACGTGCCAAACTTTAGGGCAAGGTAGGTGGGGGGGTGAGCTCACTGATAAACAAAAAATTTTCAGGTAAAAGTGTCACCGTTTTTGAAATATTTACATTTTTTCGAATTTAAAAAAAATCGTGCCTTTTCATGTGTTTTCTTTAACTGCAACTACAAACCGGGCAATACTTAGTAAATTTTTTATGTAAAATACTTCCAGATAGTTGCCTCTCCATACTCAAATGCAATGTAGTTAAAATAAATTAAGGAACCATCATAAAATTAGGACTATTTCTGGATTTTTAACTTTTTGATATTTTCTTCCCCAACTTTGACTATCTCGGGTGAAAAAA